AAAAAAAAAAAAAAAAAAATTCTCTCCCACCTCCCTTCGGAGGAACTAGTACTCCACCCCAGGTCAGTCGCGGCACCGTTTCACCCACTGGATGTCTAGGATGGGAAAGGTGTAATCTGGTGGCCAACTTTTGTGCCTCTGTTAACACTCTAGATTTCTGAAAGTCATTTAAAGTCTGTCCAGAATAACACGGACATCTTTCTAAGCCACGTCACAGGCTAGACACAAATGCGGGAATGTCTCTGTATTTATCATGGTGATCAGTGTAGCTTCCCAGATCCTGTTTTATTTAACTCTACTAGACGAAGGGCTACGGGCCAGAGTAGGTCCAAACTCCCCCACTACTTCCAACAAGGGTAGAAGCCGCCTTCCCCCTGGTGGAGGCAGAGACCGCACCGTCTCCCTCTCTGTAGTACAGGGCAGCTGGGAACAGGTGGGAACCTGAGGAGGGTCTCTCAATATCACCATCTAGTAAGAACTTGAAACATCCTTGCACCACTGAGGACGAAAGCCTGTACATACGGCATTTCAGCCCATTTTCCTTCGCTTTTGCAAAAAAGGTCCAGTTTTAAGACAGCAGGGTGATGTAGAGCCCCACGTGGCGGCCACTGTTCTCTGCTATCCAGCTTGTACTGTGGCCGGGCGGTCGTGCAGAAGATCGAACATCTTTTCTTCAGAGTATCTGGATCAAATTTGTCCCAGTTTGAAAGAATGTGCCCCAAAGGGGTGTTAAAAGGGATTCTTGATCCTTGTGCACCTATCTAGAAGGTAATGGGGGGAAAAAGGGCGGGGGGAGTCTGTTAGTGCTGGGCGTCCCCAGGTAATGACCTGGGCCAGGCGGTTTAAGTACCGGTCCGGACGTCCCCTTTCGGGTTCGTAGGAAGAGGGGTTGTGCACGACCCCTCAAACCTAAAAGCCTTTTTTTTTTTTTTCTTTGAGTGCAAGGACAGTATCTGTTGGTCTAACAACCTGGTCATTTGTAGAAGTACTGTCACCTGCGATTGGGTGGCCAGCCATGATAAGGACGGCACCTCCTAGACAGGGTTATCCCAGTCAGCGTTTTCAAGGAAAAGGCAAGCTGGCTTACCTAAACAGAGCAGCCGAGTCCCGGCACCAAGAACGTCAGAGTGGGAGTCTGCCCTCAGTTCTTGGTGTGCTCTGGGCAGATGAAGGACCAGACACACCAAAGTGTCAAGTCCAGAAAAATCACCAGCAGGGCCAGCACGACGCAGTAACCCCAGGCAGGAAGCAGTTTCACACGAGCAGCTCTTTATTACAGAACAAAACGGGTCTGTCTCCGCGAGCAGAGAGCAAGACAGCGACTCACTGACCGACCCAGTCTCTCTGGGCTCTCGGATTGTTTTATTAGCCCAGTCCGGGGCTGGGCTGGGGGGGGTGTGGGATGTTAGCAAATGATCAACAGGTGTCCTGAAAATCCCATCTGCATGTATATACAAGCTCTCTCTCTGAAGGCCCACCTTGGGGCGTAATAATTACCCTTAGGTTACTCCGGGTCTCTTTCTAAATCCTATCCTGCCTGGGCTGCGGCATTCCCAGGTTGGCAAGGCACGCCCTCCTTCCCCAGGTGTAGCAGTTGCTTGGGACGGGATTAAGGGCGGGGCAACACCAAAACCGAGCGCCCGCCCTTACCCTTCTTCCCAGGTGGAGCGATTGCTGGACCCAGCACCAAAGCAGGGCACCCTTGTCCCGAGAACAGCTGAGATCCTGACCATCTACCTAACACGTCCACCTGTCGTTTGAGCCACCGTAAACCCCGCACTGCCGGTAGGAATATGTAGTTACCTAGCGAAGTTAAAGGTATCTCTCGACTTACCAATTCAACTCTGAATGTTTGCAGAAGAACTTGTGCACAAGCTTGCTCATGAAAGTGGTATGTGTAATGCCCCAAAATTAGAAATAATAAAAATAACTATCAACGAAAGAATGTGTAGCTTGAGGCATACCACACAGCGGAACACCCTACAGCATAAAAGTGCATGAACTCCAGGATGCAACGGATCATACAATGTTGGGTGAAAAAATGACGCAGAACACACACACAATGATTCCATTTACCTAACATTCAAAAGCAGGCAGGCTAGACTACGTTGTGTGAGGGTGCACACACAGGCGGTCAAGTTCTGAACGAAAACAGGGAAGTGAAAGACAAAACATGGCGACCTCGATGCTTCCCAGTCTGGCCTGCACATGGAAACCGCCTGAGGCAGCGCGGGGGGGCGGCGGCGTTAACATCCACCGATATCTAGGCCCCGCACGCAGAGGGTCTGATTTCCTTGTGAGATGCCGGCCTTGGGTGTCAGAGTTTTCGCTGTCTCCAGGTGTTTCTGAAGTGCAGACCAGTTAAGGACCCTGTTCTAAAGGGAAGGGAGAGGACTGTGATGGGAGGGGAGTTGGCAGGTGTTTTATATACACATACGAGCGTGTCAGCGCTCCCCTTTCTCCACGGCATACACGTAGGTGTTCCAGGGCCCACAGGTGACAGCCTTTACTTGGAGTTGTTTATCTATAAAGTATTCCACGAGGCAGGGCCGGTCCAAGCTGGCGGTGTTCTTGTGGCCAAGCTGTCCGTATTTCCCTAAAGCGAAACAAGCCCTTGCTGCCTGTCCCCTCCAGGAAGCGACTCGGCTGGTTAACTGAAGTGCTGGCACTATGCCTGCCCACCCCCTACTGGTGTCTGCTCTATGACTTGAGGGGACCCAGAGCCATGAAGCCTCCAGGGCCAGGCAAACCTGCGGGTCCCCAAGAGTCCAGCAGTGACCAGCCACCCCAGGCAAGATGCTCTTTCAGGATTCCCTGCTACCTGAGCTAAGACGTTCAGAGCAGAGATTTCCATTTTATCTTTTCCTCCGCCTAGTGCCGGAGTAACAGCAGCTTGGTAAATGCTGGCTAAGTACTCTTTTCAGACAGACAGGTAGTACCAACACCCTCTCCCGACATCTCTCCCGTTTGGTCTGGGACCTTCTGCATGTGCCTACATCTGCTCCAACCCCAGGGAGGGAGCACACGGCTGTTCAGTCCCAGTGACCCGTGGAGGCTCCTGCTTCCATTAGTCTTCGTGGCTTTGTCACCCGCCCTGCACTCCCTGGTCTTTCCTCTCCTTGGTTTAAGGGTCACAAAAACAATCCTTCTACTTACCCCAGCCCCAGGTGTAGAGCTCCCCCGTTCCTGAAACCAGAGGACAGTATTAGCTGTCGCTACTCCTCTTCGGCAAGGCATTAGCTAACCTGGCTTGGCCCCACCCATATAATCCTCACGAGATTTGCTTGACATAGAACAACATATTCTAACAACTGTCTAAGCACATTTGGGGTGGTAAAGGACCCAGACTGAAAAAGAAGTTTATCTTTCTGTAAGTCAACAGATTGGCCTGTGTCTCACAGCTACCGAGTTTAGGAGTCTTAGCCACTGAACCGGGCAGGCCCTGCAGTCAGAGGAAGAGGATGGAGAGCATCAGCCACCCTCCAGAAAAAGAATCTTCTGGGCCTGACGGGCTGGGAGCTACTGGTAAGCCATGTGGGGGTGGGGCTCACTCACTGAGTGAGGCGGCTGCTCAGTGTACGGCACAGGAGCCTTAAAACATAGCTTCTAAGCTGATCGCACCCTTTTCTGTGGCCACAGCCGGAGGTGGAGTGCCTTCCTGCTCCATCCTGAACCAGCCCACCCGCCCCACTCACGTGTCACCACAGCTGTGTGCCGGGACCCGCAGCTGGCCTGGACTGCATCCGAACCCCGGGGCAGATCCAGCAGAGCCGGGAAGGGCTGGATGGCTATGAAGGGGGCAGGGGCTCCCTCCTCACCCCCGGCTGCTCTCGTCACTTCCGCACCGTCTTCCTTCAGTCCTGTGGCCGTGACAATGACTGTAACAATGGCGGCTGACACTAACAGGCCGGGCACGGAGCTGACCCGTATTCACACATTCACTCGTTACTGCAACGGCGTGTTATCCTCTAGCGTCAACGGTCCCAAGCCCTATGTGCTACAGAGGTGTTGGGAGTTGACAGGCTGGCAGGGTGTGTAGTGCCAAGACTGGCATCAGCCTTTCCAATGCTCCCTCCTGTAAGGAGCTCAGAATCCTGGGGTGACAAGAATGTCACATGCTCCTTTTGAGCACTGTGGCTCTTGGGCCAGCATACAGCCAGGAGTCAGGAACGACAGCCACATCTTGGGGAGAAGGCTGTGGAAGCACAGTTGACGCACCTTCCCCCGTGGCTGTGCTCCTGTCCTCTGCCGAACTCCTGGTGGGCAGGGCCAGCTGTCCTGATTCATTCCAGCCCCAGACGTAAATATCCCCCGTCTCTGAAAGAGATTAAGCGGACACATTAACAGACTGTGAACCTCTCTATCCATCCAAACTCCCCTCCCTTCCCACAGGCTGCTGGGGACAACTGCAGCCTGCCCTGCCCGGCCGTAGTGCCGCCTCAGGCCCAGTGGCTTCCTTGTCTTAGGTTCTCTTCCCTCTCCGTGTCTTCAGGTCACCCTTCCATTTTCATTCTTTCCTTTTGTTGTTAAATGCCCACTACCACCGCAATTTCAGAAATGTATCCCTGGAAGTGCCTGTTTGGTGTCCCTTTCAAAACCACTGAGCCAGGGTGCAAAATAAAAAAAATTTAAAAAATAAATAAAAAAAAAAACCACTGAGCCAGCCTGTGCCCCTTTTCAACCCTGCCCACCACTGGTCCTGCTGAAGGCCTCTTACTGAAGTTCTCACCTTCCTTGCCTCCCACAAGGAAGGTGAGAAATACATGAAACACCAGCACAGATTTAGCACTTTATAAGATCGGCTACTATTGTCAGTGAACTTTTAGTATTAGGGCTGTTGCTCCAGCCTGGCTGCCAACCCAGGCCCAGGACAGGAGAATGTGGGGGCCGAGGGAAGACACTGGTAGTGTTTTAAGCCCCCTGCTGCTCTAAGTAGCAGCCAGACTGAGAGCCCTGGACACAGAGATCATCCCCAGCCTGCCCTCCTGCACGGGCTCTAACAGCCCAGGAAGCAGCTGCACCCGGGCACCTGCCAGGGTGGTGGACTCAACATCCACAGTGAAACTCCCCACTCTGACCCTAGGTCACCAGCTGTGGCACCACCACAGGGTCACACACCCTGTCAGCCCCCCACCCCCCTGTGGCCTCCCTGTGTCCGCTCTGTGCACACATCATGGCCACCTGGGAAACTGCAGCCTTTCTCCCCCGCCCGCTCATGCTCCCTTGCAGGGGAGAAAGTTTAGAAAGACAGCCCTGGCTGGCGGCAGATGGACAGGAGGGGTAGTGAGAGCAGGCCCAGAGAGAAGACAGGAAACAACTGCAACCGTCCGGTGTGAGTGGGTGATGGTGGAGGCACGAGGGGCCGAATTTGAGAGGCATTTAGGAGTCACGATTGGCCGGAGTGACATGGGATGAGTATGGAAGGAGGCCTGGCTAGGCCACCCACCAAAACTGGAAGAGGAGGAAGAAGGTCTGGGACAAGACCATGAGCTTGTCTGGAGAAGCACGAGGTCACTCACCACTCACACACACAGAATGCCAGCCACCGGCGGCCACCTCAGCCATGGGTAGGCCCTGTAAGGCCTCCAACATCCTTGGCTCCAGCTCTGCCTCCAGGGTCCCGTGGCCCAGCTGTCCGTGTCTGAGCAAGGGAGACCCTAGTCAGCGGGCGGCGCCAAATCACACTCAGCTGGCGCTCACCTGGCCACACCCCTACTCACCTGCCCCCGCCCCAGGAGAACACCTGGCCGGCCCCGCCAAGCAGCAAGGCGTGCTCGGCGCCCAGCTCCAGCCGGCGCGCCCGCAGCTCCGGGGCCAGAGTCCGGTAGAAGGGCGGCCGCGGGCTCACGTAGGTGCGGGCGCCGGGCAGCAGGGGCAGCGTCCCAGCCTGCGCCCCACAGCCCGCTTCGTCTTCCCCCTCGGTCTCCGACACCACGTCCTGGGCCCACAGGGGCTCCCCATGGAGCGCCGAACCAGGCGCCCAGGCCTGCAGTGACGCCCCAGACCCCGGCCCTGGCCCGGCGCGCAGCACCACGAGGAGCCCCTCCGAGGCCCACGCGTCCCTGCAGCTGCCCGCCGCGCCGCTAGCGGAGCCCGACAGCTCCACGTGGCCTCCACCTGCGCGGGCGGAAAGAGCCGGCTGGGGAGGGGGTGGGACACACAGCGAGGAGGGCGGACTAGAATCGGGGCGTGTCTCTAGACAGGGGCAGGGTGGCCAGAATGGAGGGTGAGGGGTGTTCCTGGGGAGGGGTCGGACTGGGCCAGAACGGGCGCGCTACCCCGGGTGAGCAGAACGGCGGGAGGAGGCGGGGCGGGGGGCGCTCACGGGTCACGAGGGCGGTGTAGCTCCAGCTCGCGCTCACGCGGCAGGTGTCCACGCCCGCGCCCAGCGGCTCGGGGCTGTGCACTTGGCGCCCGCGTCCGGAGCCCAGCGCCTGCCCGAAGCCGCAGAAGCCGAAGCCGAACCAGGCCCCCGGCGGCTCCTCGGCCATGTCCCGACGGCGCTCTCCGCTGGCAGCGGCCTGGCTGGGGTGGGCAGCGGAACCAAGGGTTAGGGCTAGAACTCAGGGAGATCCTCGCAGAGAACCCCTGGCGGGGCACTGGAAGTCTCTGGCCTTCCAAGGGCTGCAGCTGCCTTATCTGTAAACTGGGGGAAATCCCGTCCTCCTAACACGGAGGCAGACGCTGTCCGCTCCACAAACGTTCTCTGAGCAGCTGCCTTGGCTAAAGTCCTAGCAGGTTTACGAAGATGCTGAACCATCTGGAGTGGGGCACCTTCGCCGTCCTCCCTTTTAGCTCAAGCTCCGCGTGCCACGAAGTGGGCACGAGGGATTTAAGTGGCCTGTCCTTCCCGCGTTGGACTCGGATCTGAGGCCCCCTCCAGCTCCACCTTCCCAGCATCAGGCACTTTATCCCATGTAAACTTGGCAGCCAAAATTGCCCCGTTTTACAGAGATTTCCCAGAGAAAGTAACCTTCACAAAGTCATAGAGAGATGGGCAGGCGCTGCTCTCAAGTCCCACCGACTCCACAATTAGTGTTCTTCCCACCAGTGTCCTGCTCGTTTGCCTCTGCAGCTGGCGGTGCCTGTGCCCCGAGCCAAGCTGAGACCAGTTCCATTTCTTCAGTTTTACAAAGGGGTGCGGCGGGGCTTTTGAACCTACCGCACACAATTGTTTGTAATAAATGCAAATAAAGAGTTCGGTGCTGGCACATACCATAATAGGCACACAGTATTAGCCTATCAAATCCAGTACTTAGAAGTGACCCCCCAAAATGACCACTGGACGTCCTTTTGGTTTTCAAGGATCTGTATAGACATAATTTCAACTGGACCTTATCTAGTCATTTATTCGTCCCACAAGCATTTATTGAGAGCTCTTACTCTGGGCCAGCAAGGACAGCAGCCTGCTCCCAAGGAGCTGACGCTTACGTGGGGAGACGGGCGCATGGTCTGGCGGTTCCTACACCACTTTTCCCACACTGCACGTGCGTTCGGCTCGGTCAGAATGTCACAGAAATTTTCAAGCCTCTGAAATCAGATCTTGGGTCTCTCCTGCAACCCCAGCTCCTGGGCTGCTAATCCCTTCCGTGTCCACTCCCAACCCAAGGGAATCTCTGACCTTGATCTTGACCCTGTGCCCTCCACCCCCTCAGGCAGGTCGCAGAGTGGCCGCCTCCGGAACAGGTCGCGCGCCCAGAAGAGACCGCCAGGAAGACCGGGTTTGAAGGGCCGCGCGCTGGGCGAGGCGGCCATTGGCTGCAGCAGCCTCCCCGCCGGCGAGGGAGGTGACGTCACGGGGCGGGGTGGCCGCAGGGCAGCGCTCACCTGGCCGCGGTTGCCTCTTCTGTCCAAGCCCCATTGGACTGGTCCCCAGGCTTCGGCTGGGCCGCTGCGGCCTGGTCCGAGAAATGGGCTGAAACCGCCAGTGCGCGTGGGACCAAGGCAGAAGTTGGACCAGATGGCCCTGCCGCTACAGGCACCCGCGGAACTCGGATTAGAAACCACTGAGGGGACACTCATGAAGACCTGAACTTAAGGGTTGGCGAGGAGCGACCCCCGAGACGTGCGGACCCCGCCACCCACTTCAGTCTGGGCCAGCGGCAGCAGCTCGATACTGCACACGCGCAGGTCTCAAGGCCAAACAGGAAGCAGCTCTTACGTTGCACCGATTGGCTCGGGACCTGTCACTTACTTTGTTGAGCCAATGAGTGTCGAGCCAAGCTCAGCCCTCAGTCCGGAAACAGGCCTGGGCCGCCCAAGCCCGCCCTCAACCAGGCTTGGCCACACCAGGCTCTGCTTTTTCCTGAGAAGGAAGTGAATGCCAGGGCGGCGCACGGACCCCAAATCCCAAGCGCTGTGTTGAACGGAGGTCACAGACAACTCACAATATAAAGATAAGACTATTGAGGGTCCAGCATATAGGCGTCTATACCCTAAAACCATTTATCTCCACGAAGCTGGATAGCTTTTTATTGATTAGCTTTCCAGGCTCATCCCTTGTCCCTGCAACAGGATTAAGCAGCAATTCATCCGGACCCTGGGGTGGGGAGTCCACTGGATTCCTTCCGTAGAGGCGGCTCTGCTGCTGACGTAAAGTTCCGCTACACACACCCATGCCCAGCTCCTGCTCCAGATACTCCCACCCACAGCAGCCCTCTGCCCAAGGACAGGGCACACATTTGAGTTCCACACACTTTTATTGGAGGGGCAGGGGCAGGCCTGCCAAGCAAGCTCAGGTGATGCTCACAGCTGGTGATGCTGCTGATGTGCCCTTCCCGATGCCCCAGAATGCATGGCCTGAGCTGGGACGCACCTTTCCCATTCCTGGCTGTCTACAGTAGATCAGAAAACGGACCCCTCTGAGTGATGCTGGAGGCAGTGCTGGCTGAGCAGGGCTGTGTGACTGAATGTAGCCGCTGACTCAGAACAGAGGACACTGAACGGCAGCTAGGGCGGAGAGGCAAGAGTGTTCTGCACACCAGCCCCCGCCAGCCACAGCTGCTTCTGTTTTGGCCCTCTGCGCTGCAGCAGGTAGCATGTGCATGAGCCCAGGGGCAGCGCCTCACTCTCCATCCTGGTTGGGCTGGATAAGCCTATATTCCACAGCTTTCCCCAGGCAGGCTGCAGCAGCCCTTGTGACAGGGCTCTCCTCGCCCTTAGCCAGCACTGACAGGATCTCCAGCACCTCGCTCTCCATCAGGGTGCTGGCAATCTCCCTTGAGGCCTCCACCATGTTCAGTACCACCACAGCACCCCGGTGCTGCAACTCCTGGCTGGGGCTCAGAAGCAGGGCCTGCAGGATCTCTAGCCAATGAGTGGTCTGCAGGAAACAAGGCAGGTGTGACCATCAGGCAACAGGCTCAACCTTGGCAAGGAACACACCCACACGTCTTAGGACTTCCCCCACCCCCACCCACTGCCATCATGCTGGTCCACCCCTCCTCCCCCACCAAGAGGCACTGACCACTTGGGGGATGCGGCTACAGAGCGAGGGCCGCATGGAGGTGAGCATGGCCAGGCCCCCGGCAGCTGCCCGCCGTAGCAGCTCATCATCCTCTCCACTGTACAGCACCAGCAGCTTCAGCCGGTCATTGCCCTGGGCTTCAAAGAGGTCCTGCACCTGTGGCCAGGTGGGGGGAGTAGACCGAGTCAGCAGGGTGCAAAGCCCAGCCAGGGCCCAGGCACCTCTGCATTCATGCCTGTCATGAACACCTGGACCAACCCTCACCTCCTTGCTCATGGCCAAGTTGCACATGCACTCCGTGGCTGCCCGGCGGATCATCTCATGCTCCTCAAACATGTAGCCCTCAATCATGGGCACAGCCTTCTCCTTCAGGATCTTCTGCCTGCAGGGCCAGAGGTGGAAGGGGCAGCATTCTCAGAGCTTCTGCATCCATCCTGCCCTGCACCAGGTATGAACTGCGGTGCTTTCTAGCCTTCTAACCAGGCTTAGGAAATAGCACAGGATTGTGGAAAACGTTTGAAACAACGAGGTAGGAGACCAGGGTGGTAGTAATAGTGATGCTAACACCTACATTTGAGTACTGATCCTGACCAAGATTATCTTACGTAATCCTCTCCATGACCCTATGGTGACGGTGCAGGTGTGGTGAGTAAAGTGCTCAAGGTCACGATTAGTAATAACTGCTAATTCATCTTGATTTTGCACAATGCTAGGGACCAGGTACCTATGTACTAAGAACTTTTGCGTATATTTTCTCATTTAATTCTCACCACTAGTCCATGAAGTAGGTGCTACAATCATCCCATTTCACAGAGGGAGAAATAACTTGCCTGACGTTACACATTCGTAATTAGGAAACCCAGTATTTGAACCCAGGCAGTCTGAGTCCTTGGCCTATCTCCTCATCTGTACGATGCAGGAGTCACCGAGAGGCTGAAATAAGCCAATGAGTGGTTTTTAAACTTTAAAGTGCTCTACTGGGGATATTCCAAATTCTGATGCCTGACCCAGGTCCCCCATCCCAAGGGACCTTACCGGAGCCTCTCACTGATTCCCGCCAGGTTCGTTAGAGCCATGAGTGCCTCGAAGTTCTGCAGGCCTGAGCAGCTGAGGTGCAACAGAGAGACAAGGGGCCGGACCACCTCATAGATCTGTGATGATGCACCCACCTGTCAGGGCTACTTGCTGCAGCCCCCACCGACCCACAGGAAGGAGTCCACCCCCTGAGAGAGCTGCCGTCAAAGACTGCTCTCCCTACCCCAGGGCTCAGCAAAGCTTCCATTTCCTGTTGGTCCCAAGGAAGAGCTACAGCTCAGGCCGGAAGCCAACAAGGCCCAGTGAAGAGGTGGAGGAGAGGCCAGGGCTCAGACAGGAAGATACACACCCGCTCGCCGGGAAAGGTCATCTCTGGGTTGGAGGTGATGGTGAGCTTGGCGAGAGCCTGGGCTGCCTTTGTCTGCCCCACGTCGGTGCCCTCCAGGGCCAGCGGGATCAGAGACTGTAGGAACAAGCCCATCAGTGCCCAGGATATGCCTCGAGTGCAGACCCCAAGGCCTCACCCTTCTCCTTCTCCCCAGGATTTGACTCCCTGCACAGACCCCCTTCACCTCTCTGAGGTCTCTCCTTAAGCTACCCAAACACTTCTTGCAACACCTATTAAAGGCTAGACGTGGCTTGTGCTGGGCGCTAGGGCCACGGAGGCAAATGAGACAAGGGAAGTGCCAAGGGACTCTGGGGAGCCTGCCCACTTCTGCATCACCCAGTCAGCGGAAGACATTTCCCTGGTCGTTGTTTTTCCATCTCACACCTAACACCAATCTCTGGCGTGGCATCTACTGAGTCATGTTTTATAGGCTGATGGCTCAGCCATCAGGAAGGAGTCTGCAAACCGGCTTACCTTGCCCCCTCCCTGAGCAACCACGGTGCCTCGGTCCTCTACCTCTTCCACCAAAGCCAGGAAGACCCTGCGGGAGAAAGTGGTGATGGGCGGGTGGGGTCCAGGGCTCTGGCAGGCAGACACTCCACTCCTGGGCTCAGCGAAGGAAGGCAGCCAAGCAGTGGCCCCGCCTTGCTCCCAGAGGCCCACAGCACCAGGACCTGCTCCCTCTGGAGTCACATCCATAGCCCCGAGGCTCAGGAGCTGGGAAAAGCCTGGCTCCGCGCCAAGGCAGCTTCACCTGGAGAGCAGCTCTCTGCAGGAATTAGTCAGCACGGGGTTGTCGGTCTTCACCATGGATGTCATGGCCGACACCACACCCGCTGCCAGCAGCTTCTTCACCCGAGCCCGCACGAAAGCCGGTTTGTCCTGGGGAAGGAGGCAGCTTAGTAGAGGGGCCTTGGCTGACTAGACAGGGGGGCCTTTCTCACAGCAGACATTGGTGAACAGGGAAACAGCCAGAACAAAGGGAAAGAAACCAGCTTAAATGGAAGGCTCTTCTGCTGTGGATACCCCAGGTCAACTGGTCCCAACGGTGGGGAAACCTTCAGCCCCTTCCAGCAGTCCCCTCACCTTAGGGTGCTGCTCGGGCACATGCTGCTTGGCATACTTGGCCAGCTCCACCATCTTGGGATCGGGCTCCTCGTAGTCATAGCTGTTGGTGCAGTTCACTAGTGCCGAGGCCACTGCAAAGAGCACTGACCTCTCCTCAGACTGCCAGGAACAGAGGGGCATTCATTCGGCTATCCCACGGGCAGAGCAGCACCTGAATAAATGCTGCCCAGGCCCCCAGTTCTACCCTCAGCTGGACCACCTGGGTACCAGGATGAATCCCAGAACCTCCCCCAGGCCCCAGACTTTGGGAGCTTACAAACTTGACCTCCCCAACTCCTTCAAGGAGACCTTCCTAACACTGCTGGTGCAGGCGAGCATGCCCATACCACACAGGACAAACACTCAGGCTACCAGCCCTGCCTCCCTGGGGTCACCAAGACCTGCCGAGAAAGCCTGGTAAGCACTAATCCTAACAGTGTCCCCAGGTTGATGGTAGGAACCCACAAGCTACCCTGCTGAGCTGGAACAGAGCCTTCAAAGCAGACTCGTCCTCCACAAACTCTTCCTTCACATCAGCATCAAAGGTCAGGTAAGCCAGGCCCTCCACTGCCCAGCGCCGAGTACCTGCGTCAATCTGGTCATTGCACAGCCACCTGCGGACATGCAGGGCAGTGGACAACCATCAGAACTGGGGATTGGGATGGGACACACCAATGCCAAGAGGGAAAAATTAGGGCTTGGGCATCCCCTCAACACTGAGAAGCAGCTCATGTGCCGGGACCCAGGGGGTCTGCCGAGGGGAGAGCAGTCCCTGCCTGAGCCAGAGTAGGGCAGGGAGGAGGCCCCACCCTCCACCCAGACCCTCCTGTCTTGAGACATGTCCAACAGGTGGGAAGTCACAGCAGTGCCAAACAACTCACTTTCGACATTGCTTGGCCAGTTTGAGAGTGGAGCCTTCAGCAAACTGCTTCATGCTAAAGTCAGTCCCTCCAGCTGAGCCGAGCTTACAGAGTCCCTGGAGAAAGAGGGCAAGACCAGTTGCCTGGCCTCTGGGGAAGGAGGAAGGGGCTGGGCTCCTCCACAACTGGCTTGGACTCCCTCTCTGGCACTGTC